ATGCAATTGACCGGCGGCGGTATTTTCATATTAACAAAAAAATACTCGTGCGATCGTAATATTATTTCGGTTTTAGTTTGAAATGGGAATCTGCGTTTTGACCTATTTTTTTCTCGGCCAGCCCCGAAATTTAACAAATTATTTCCACTTAATTATTTCCTTGAGTCATAAAATAAAATTCTGTATGACATTCTGCTTGCTTATTCACCACACCACACCAAATTTTAGTGTTTGGCTTATCTTCTTTATGGCTTTTTTTATCTTTTATTACCATGAACTTTAAAATTATCATATTGTTTTTTTGTAAATTACATAAAAACCATTCATTAATCGCATGGTAGGTGAATGATGGGGTTAAAGTTGATCGTGATATCATCTTCGGCGTCTAAAATTCAAATGCAAGGAAACATTTTTCAATTTCTTCTGATTCTGATAATTTTAAAAATTATTTGGATATTTTTATAAGTGCTTATGTATGTACCTGAAGTTCTTTTAATTTGGAATATGAAACAAGCAACATTTCCAAACTAAGAAAAAGCCAGAAATAATTTCAAAATAATATCTATAATGGATATGGTTGTAGATGAAACATTTTTTCAAATGCCATAATAATAATATGTATGTTCATTTTCAATCGTTCTGACCATCCTGGGGTGCGATTTTCGAAACCATTCGAGTACATTTCGTACACGAAATTTGACTGCTCTTCATTTAATTTACATTGCTGTCAGTCAAATTTCGTGTACGAAATGTACTCGGATGGTTTCGAAAATCGCACCCCTGTATAGCTACAGTTGAATAGTAATATCCAGCGCCGGTTTTACTATTAGGCGGACTAGGCGGCCGCCTAGGGCCCGGACACTCAATGGGGCCCGAAATTCACTCTGAAATCAAATATCTAATTTGGCAACCTTGCGCCCTGAGACGCACCACCTCACCCGAATTACGTACACTTTCGGCAACACTGTTCTGTAGCTGTGGGATTCCCAACTCAGGTAGAGTCCACTCAACCGAACATCCACCCAGACAGCACACACAGTCTTGAAAACGTCTTTTCTAGGGTCTGTATTACGTCCCGAACGTCTGAAGACCAAAAAAAGACGCCTAGAAGCAGAGCCGTCTCTAGCCATCTCGGGGCCCTAGGCACTTTAAAATTTGGGGGCCCCCATCCCCATTTTTGAAAATGTCAAAAAAGGCAACAATAATTATTCGGAACAGAATTTATTTATACAGGGTGTCCACTTAGTGCGATATCGGACGATATCTCCTTACAGGGTGATGCAAGAAAAAAAAATTAAATTATAAAGTTGTTTGACACTCTAATATGCATTAGTTAAAATATTCCGGAGATTAAATTTAATTGAAATTTTTAATCATGGATTAAATTCAAAGTTGGTGTTAAATGATAGTTTATGAAAATCTAAGATAGGAATGTAAAATCGGTTTTCGTCTAAAATTTACCGTTTATAGGTTTTACAGCCTGTCAAATAAGTCAATTTTTAACTGTCAATATTTCCAAAACAGTTGAACCTAGGTATAGGGTATATTACATGAAATCTGGTCAGAATTTTATGTAGAATCCAGATATGCAATCACATACAGGGTGTTCGTTAAAATAAGAAGGTTCTGCCGCATATCCCATAAACGGAGCACCCTGTATATTCAAAAATATTTTTAACTAATGCATATTAGAGTATCAAACAACTTTGTAATTTAATTTTTTTATTCTTGCATCACCCTGTAAAGAGATATCGTCCAATATCGCACTAAGTGGACACCCTGTATATATCAAAAATAACAAAATGAAACACATATTTTTAGGCACTAGGTACATATACAAACAAATAAGTAACATTTGCCTAACTAAATAATAATATTTAATAAGTATATCGTGCTACAAGAAACAAGTCACAAGTCATATCTTAAAAAGACGTTTACAAAACAAAACAATTCTAAATATTTTATGGCGTTTTCCATTTGTTGTCTGAGTACAGCACTCGCCACTCAGTTACAGCAATTGGGTTCCGCAAATAAATGATAGATGGTCGGACAGCACCTAGTTTATATTCAAATAATTACCTATTATTTGAATATTATTTCATTTAATATTACCGATATTATCATTTATTATTTGAATACTTTTTTATAAAAATTAACGACGGGGCCCCTATGACAGGGAGCCCTGGGCCAGGGCCCAGCTGGCCCATGCCTAAAGATGGCACTGCCTAGAAGACGTTGTTTTGAAGATGTCCATATAACATGTCGTAAATTCATATCTTAGACAACTATTTGGTACAACCAAGCCTAAAAGTGAATAATGATTTATGTATTGAAAAGAGATTCAAAAACGTCTTTGAGACATTTTGTTGAAGAAGTCTTTAGAATGTCTTAGAGCTAAAGACATCTTTAGGCAGATCTCTGGAAGATGTTGGGTTTTGTTACATTACGACGTCTTCAAGACAAGATATCTTTGAGACGCCTTAAAGACGCAGGCAAGACGTGTTGAATGTCGTTTATGGACATCTAGGGACGTCTTTAGGAAAAATTTCCCACAGAATTCGTTTCTAATTTAATTTAGAAGTTACTGGAAACCATTCAAAATGCTACAGAAGACTTTAGAACTTTAATAGGCCTTTTGAAAAGTTCAAAACATTTAAAATTAAATTCAGAATTTCCAAAAGCACTCTGTAGCGCTTAAGAAAATTTTTGAAAATTTCAGAACCATTTTAGAATGCCTCAAAAACACCTATTTCCAAAAGTATTTTAGAACAACTCAGAAGTTTGAAATCCATTTTAGGACGCTCCAAAACATTCAAACTCAGACACTCTAGACACCCCAGAAACATTTTGAACAGCGCCAGAATCTTAGGGTTCAGATTAAAAGTTACTAAACGCTTTTCAGAAGGCTTTTAAGAGCAAATTTAGATTGCTGTAGAATTTTAGAACTCTTGAAGCGAGTCTTGAAGGCATTCAAAACAGTTCAAATCCAAATCAGAATTTTCAGGAGCATTTTAGAGCAATTGAGAAACTTCAGAGTTATTTTAGAACAATTTCAGAATTCTAAATTGAATCCTTATTTAGACTTGAAAACTTTTGGAACTTTTTTGAACCAATTTAGACCTCTTTGGAACTTCAATAGGGCTCTAAAATACTTAAAAATCTGTCAGAACAATTTAGAAATTACTGAAAAACTTCTAGAATGCTCCAGAACTCTTCAAGCCAAGTTAGAATACTAGAACTTCAAAAAGCCATTTAGAACGTTCTAAAACACTTTCCAGCAGCATTTTGAAAGGCTTTTTTTTTTCAATTTGGACAAAAACAGTAAAAAGCTACTTTGTGCTAAGGCCCCATACCTACTGCCGCCTAGGGCCCGGTAGAGCCTTGAACCGGCGCTGGTAATATCCCCATCCCTTTTCAAATAATCTCAAGTAGGTATTGTAGAAAAAATATATAATAAGAACGTCTATTATTGTACTTATTCTTTTATCCCAAAAAAAGGCTTTTCAAAGTGTACCAAGCTATAATAAGTAGGTATAAATACGTCTGAGTTCCAAGTAATTTTAGCACACCAGGATAATGCACTTTCATAATGTAAACATACTGTCTTAAATTACAGCAGAAGCTCCAACAATGCTAGTGAATAATCTTGAGATGCTTTCAGCTTATTTAGATACAACAAAAACTTGGAGTTTTTCTCCTGATTTTAAATATTCAGTTGCAGCTAATTTAAATACCTACATACTTCACTTTAATTAGATGTTCTGTTTGCTCCTGATTGATTACCGTTCCTAAATAAATATAGATTTGTAGGTCAACTATTAGTAGTGATTTTTTTTAGTAAATGCTATAGTATAACTATACCGGGTGCCCACGAGATTACTTTCCGGGTGCCCACGAGATTACTTTCCGGCTGCCATTTTTTTATTTGTTCATCGATATCAAAGAAACTTGGTAGGCTTGATATTCTAACGAAACGCCATTTTTGTGCATCCACGACAAGTTTTCCTAACTTCCAGTTTTACAGGAAATTACCAAAACTTTTGATTTTCAAATGGCACACCCTGTATATTTTTTGTTTTTTCGATTCTATAGATCGTTTTACGTCCTATTGTACCACCTTTAAATCGAGTTTTGTCCAAATTTCGTTTTCAAATTAAATTTTAAGTAGAAAAAAAAAATTACCCACATAATAAATCAAAAATTTTTAAACGAAAATAAAGAAAAATGTCGTAGTGTATTATATCGTTGGATTGGCCTTAAAATACTGCATTAAGTGATGTTGTGAAAGTGATATGTTTCTATTCTAGTTTCTGAGCTAGGGCAAAAATACTAAAATAATGAAGTTTACAGCCCTCTATCAAAAAAGTTTACAAAGATAAAATTGAGTATTTTTCTGAAATTAAGTAAAGTATGTAGAGTCATTTTAGGATGATCATGGCACTCTAGTTAAAAAATTTAACTTTAATTAAAAAACAAAATTTAGAAAAAATTTCATTCAAAAGTGGTGCATTAGGACGTAAAACGATCTGTAGAATCCGAAAAACAAAAAATATACAGGGTGTGCCATTTAAAAATCAAAAGTTCCGGTCATTTCCGGTGAAACCGGAAGTCAGGAAAACTTGTCATAAATGCATAAAAATGGCGTTTGGTTAGAATATCAACCATACCAAGTTTCGTTGATATCGATAGATAAATAAAAAAATGGCAGCCGGAAAGTGATCTCGTGGGCACCCGGTATGTATATTACTATTTTTACCATCAAATTATATTTTTTAGCAAATTCCAGTGTTGCAACAGATACATTCAAAACTATAAACTAAAATTTTAATGCACAAAATCAAAGTGAAGATAGAAAGCTACTTGAAAAAAAACATGGTTATTAATATGTTATATACAAATACGCCATCCACCGTGGGACACCCTGTATTTATTGGATAATAATTATTAAAGCACCTTATCTCTCATATTTGCTCTAAACAAACATATTGATGTAAATTTAGATTGTTTACCTTTGGATTTGGTAAGCAATAATCATTCATCATTCATTATCCACTTTAAAACTGGACATTTTCCATTATTTGTTTACAATTAACCATAATTTATTTAATCATCTTTGAGCATGTCATGTAGGTACCATATAGGTTTTATGAATGGCATAATAATATCTAATAATAATTATCATTTTGAACATGCATTCACAATTATTATTTCAAAAAGTTTATAATTCTTCATTTAGTATAATTTTTCTGTTGAAATAAAGCTTTTTGCTGATACCGCATAGAATTTACATTATTTGCGTTTGTCTAATTTTGTTCACCTACCTGTTTGTGGAAGAAATATTTTACTGAAAATATACATATTTGGCATTTTATCATATACCTATTTGTGCAACTATGAATTATAAATATTACCCATAGTACATGTAGTTGTAGTTTGTTATTGGAGATATTATGCCCAGAAAGTTTTGAAAAAAAATATTGAGCTTCTTGGGCACGCTTGCACGCTATACAAGTCGTAAAAATCAACTTGTATACTCTAAAGGCTCTGTCGTATGTCCCAAAAGCTCAAAATTCCTTATACATATTTCAAAATCAAGATTTTTGAAAGAGGAAGTCGTACATGCCACAGGCTCTAAAGCTATACCATACCCAGTGGCGGCTCGTGACTGTTTCAAGTGAGGAGGCTAAAAGATTTTGAAGATTTTCAGTGATTTTGAGTAGATCTTACGAGTTTTTGATCAACTTGTATACAAATTTTCACAGTGGCGACTCGTCAGAGGAGGCAGGGGAGGCTAAGCTTCCCCCAAAAAATTGAAAATTCAATCTCAATTTTTTATTCCTGATTTCTAATTAAAATAATAATTCACAAATTACACACTGCTTTATAATACAACAAACGTCAAAAAATTGGCCCTGTTTGGATACTTTCTACGTATTCGCCGAGGCTAAATCTATATGTCCATGTGGGTTTTTTTTTTAAATTTTGACAACTGTCAATGTCAAAAATTTTTACCTTTTCTTTTTTTCAAAAAAGAAATGTCAGAAAATGATCCCCAGGCTCCGAAAACCCTAAAATAAGAAGTTTCATCGATATATGTCAAAAGCCAACCACCTGGCAACGCCTAACGTCTTTTTTAACATATGTTAAAAAAAAATTGGTATTTCCTACGTATTCGCCGAGGCTAAATCTATATGCCCATTAAAATTTTGACAGCTGTCAATCTCGAAAAAAAATTTCTTTTTGTTTTTTTCCAAAAAACAAAGGTCGTTTTTTTAGTGGGTTTTAGGGTGAGATTTATGTAACAACATGTAGCAAAAGTTGGTACAAAAAATTGAATTTCCCGTCGGGTTTGGAATTCGAATTTTTAAATTTTCCCGGCTCCTGATTGGTTTGGGGATTCGAATTTTGATTATTCCCGGCTCTTGATTGGCTTTAAAATAACCTATAATCTCGACCCTTCGAGCTCGAGATTTGAAAAAAAAAACATATGGCAACAATGCTCATGATACAACAAACGTCAAAAAATTGAAATTTCAAACCTTGGGTTTTTTTGACAATCGATACAAAATGACGTCTTTTTGTTTCAAAGATTATGGCCCGAAGGGCTGGAGTATCAAAATCAATTAACAATGAACGGGTTCGTTCGGATAAACCTTTTGTCGCACGACACTTTGGCAATATCGACAGATGTCACCTGTCAAATTTGACACATGTTCGACTTTTTCCCCGCTCTACTATAAAAGCTACGAAAATCAAACCCCGTTACAGGGCAGTTTCACGTCGCCAACTATCGATTTGTGTCAAAAAAATTGACAGCTGTCAACGTCAAAAAAAAATATATTTTTTTTGCGAATTTCGAGAAAAAAAGTGGTAGAAAACGATCTCCGGACCCCAAATACCTTAAATAAAAATTCCAAAAAAAAAAACAACGAAAATGACATTCCAAAATCTACTTGATAAAACTAAAGTTTTTCTCACTTACCCCGTAAAAACACTGGAAATTTTTGGTGGAAAATGAAGAAAATTTAAAGCCTCGTACTTTAAATCAGTTTTCCCGACTGAAAAAGCCCCGGAAAAGTGGAAATTCGAAGAAAAACTGAATAAAAATGTGAACAAGTCAACTGAAAATGGCCGAATGTCAAAAATGCTTCCTTGATTGAAATTAGCCACAAGCGATGTTGCCACATCAAAAGCATTTTAAATGGGATTTTGCTAATTATGGCATTTAAAACTATAAATTTTTACCAAAAAATGAAGAAAAGTCAAAGCCTCGTACTTTAAATAGGTTTTTCTGACCAGAAAAGCCCTGGAAAAGCGGAAAATCCAAAGAAAAACCTCTGAAAGGGATATTCCAAAGCCTACTTGATGAAACTTGAGTTTTTATTACTTACCCCCTTGAGAAATTGGAAATTTTTAGCAGAAAATGAAGAAAACTCAAAGCTTCGTACTTTAAAACGGTTTTTCCGATCAGAGAAGCGGAAAATCCAAACAAAAACCTCTAAAAATGACATTCCAAAGCCTACTTAACGAAATTTGAGTTTTTGCTACTTACCCCATTGGAAAACTGGGAATTTTTAGCACAAAATGTAGGAAATTTAAAGCCTCGTATTTCAAATCGGGTTTCTTGACTGAAAACGGCCTGGAAAAGCAGAAAATTCGAGGAAAAACTGGATAGAAATGTAAACACTTCAATTAAAAATAGCTGACTGTCAAAACTGGCAAATTACATTGATTACAAAACCTACTTGAAGTTGGCACAAGCGGTGTTGCCACATCAAAATTTTTAAAAAAAGCATTTTAAATGGGATTTTGTTATTTATGTCATTTTAAAACTGGACATTTTTGCTAGAAAATGAAGAAAATTCCAAGCCTCGTATCACAGCATATAAAAAAACAATCAGCAGGCTAACTTGAGTGACAGCCCGTGTAATAAAGGAATTCATCGTCAAAATGTCCCTAGCGACCATTTTGGGATACGAAACAGGGCCTGATTAACGATAATTTAGGTTTTTTCTTTCCTGTGACAGAGTCGTATTGGCTTTAAATAAACTAATTTATTATTACTTACATATAATAATGTTTATTTACGACTAATGTATAATGTGCGTATTATATTTGTGATTTTGGCAGTATAATGACATATGTTATTCCTCCAGGGATTAATGACGAGTAGCGGGATTAATGGTCATTATTCCACAAAAGTGTCATTGTCAAACGTGTAGTGCTTGTGGATTTGTATTGAAAATTATGAGACGGATGAAATTTGTTCATTGAAAATCTCAAATAAATTAATTTGTCGTAAATAAAGTAGAGTATACTACTCGCAATAATGGCTATTATTCCCTCGGAATGTTACTCCCTCGCCGCTAACGCGGCTCAGTTCGTCATAATCCTCGGGAATAATAGCTATCATTATTGACTCGTGGTATAATCTACTATTATAATTACCAATTTATTATTATTATTGAATATACAAGAATGATAACAGATAACACCAAAAATGACAACACAAATATATCAAAATCATTTTGAAAATCATAGCTAAAATTCCGCTCTACACCGCACGCCTATGACCTCCGTCAGAAATAAACAAATAAAATAAAATTTCGGCGCTCCTGCCGTTTAATGACAGCGTTATGACAAAATGGTATCTCCTAATGGCAGCGTGCGCAGAAAAGATGCGCGTGAGAGTTAGCCTGCTGATTGTTTTTGTATATGCTGTGCTCGTATGTTAAATCGCTTTTTTCCATTAAAAAACCCTGGAAAAGTCGAAAATTCGAGAAAAAAAACTGGCTAAAAATCACAAGGCGTCACTTCAAAATGGCCAACTAAAAGCAACGTTGCCACATCTCATTTCGGAAAACAAAAATAACATTTTAAAAGGGTTTTTTGTTTAAAGTTTAATTTAATAATTAATTAATAATGATTATAATAATTGAAATTCCCGAAATAAATTATATTAGGAAACTTGTTTTTAGTTTAATTTCAATGAAAATGACATTACAAGGTTTCCTTATTGATTATAGTGAGTAAGACAAAGACAACGATAAAGTAGTATATGTTTGCAAAAACCACCGTTTTCTGAAAAAAGTAAAAATCCAACATTTCAAAGTGAATTTGATAAAACTAAAGTTTTTGAATATTTCCGACTCTTTGATCGGACGCTAAAAATCGCATTTTAAATACTCCCAGTTTTTAATTGGTTCTAAATTATCCGCTGAGCACTAGAATTATAAACTGAGTCCCGTGATTAAATTAACTCTAACCCTTCGGGCTCATATTACTCTAGCCCTTCGGGCTCGTATTACTCCGGCCCTTCGGGCCGGTATTACTAAGTATCCCAGATTCACAGATTTTTGTCGTGGAGGCGTGAGATTGATTGAAACAATGTTGTCAGATTTTTCTAAATTACATTAAAATATCGAAAATTAGAATTCTGTTGTGTAATTTGTGAATTATTATTTTAATTAGAAATTATGCCCGTATTACATGTGTGTATTTTTCCGTGTATTTATTCATGTAGTTCAGGGTGCCAACATTATTTTGTTGCTCATAATGCTGATTTATGTTGCGTTTGAAGTTTTTCGGTTGTCACCCTGAACTACATGAATAAATACACGGAAAAATACACAGATTTAATACGGGCATTAGGAATTAAAAATTGAGATTGAATTTTCAATTTTTTGGGGGAGGTTTAGCCTCCCCTGCCTCCTCTGACGAGCCGCCACTGACCATACCTCTAGAAGAATAATAATGGGTCTATTATAAAGTTGACTAATTTGGAACTTGTAGCGTGCCGTTAATCTTACTTTTAATATTAAAAATATGTTTTCTTTTTGGTTCCAGGAACTTATGGACAAAACCAAGATGTCTACACCCATTTCAAAAGCCGAACTATCCACCATCCTACCTAGCAAACTCAAACCCATGAACGACAAATTGTGCCTGAACAGATCATCCAGCATCGATACCATCAAGCGAATAAACACTTACATTTGCTCGCCACAATCTTACCTTTTGCCAGCCATGTTGACTACTTGGCTAAAAACTGGCCAAAACAGTTTGCACTCGTCCACGGAAAAAACTATATTTATGTTCCGATCGTTGATTTTTGGAACGTTTTTATTCAAATTTTTATTGAGAGGCTCCAAGCCTGGTCAAGAGCCTATAAAATTGAATCTACAAACCGTTCTACAACAAATTGCAGCTAATCTACAAGAAATATTTGCGATTGCTCTACAAAGCCCTTTTGTTATAACGACAGTTTTTGCGGTAGCTCTTGTATTTTTGGCGGTTCAAATGGGTTTGTGTGTATATTTGCTTAGTCAGAGCTTAATTCCTTTGGGATTATGGTTTTTGACGATTTGTATAGTTTATATTGGTTATCTTGGACATGCCCTCAATAGATTTTATTTAATTAAGAGGGATGTTAAGTGTAAAGATCACTAAAACATCATTTCATTTAAACCTAGTGTTTTGCTAAGGATAAAAATGTTTGTTTGTTTTATTCTTCCTCCAAAAAAGTTGTTTTTTCACTATAATCCTTATAGTTGAAGATTTGTAAACTTTTTGGAAGTTGTTTTAAAGTCTCAATAAAAAAGAAATGTAGATTTCAAAAATCAAATAGAACTAAGCAAATTGTAGATGCCAAAGACTTAAACATGATGATGTTTGCGTTTTATTGTTACATTGTTGTTGACATTTGTGTTTTACAACGCTTAGGTACCTACGCTTAATTTTGTGGAATTAAACTAAATAAACATATAATAAAATAAAATACAACAAATGGGCATAAAGATGCCTACATTAAAATGAAAGGTGCTGTTTTACTATTTACTAGGTATATTGCTAATAGACTTATCTACAGACTGGTGTTAAAAGTGATAGAACTTTTTGAAAAGGCTGATGGAATGTGTGCATTTAGATAATAAGACAATTTTATAATTATTACTATTGGTAAAGTTTTATTTATGAAATTAGTTTCTGCAATACTACTTAAATAAATGGAACGTGTGTATTTTTTAAAATAATAAATATTTTTAAATTTTGATTTTAGTATTTTTTTATTTATACCTACAACCAACAAACTGAAAAGCACTTCACTTTAGACAAGAAGCCACTTTTTAGTACCTGATACAATTTCCACAATATTTTTAATTATGTCTATAATTCCATACCAATCATTCATGGAATGTTTATACAAAGTGGCAAAAAGTAGCGCATAATACCTGCAACTCTTCTTTTTATGAAAAAAAATCCTACGAAGCTACAAGCAGTATGCGCTTTGCCACTTTTGTATAAGAGCTTTTATTTTTTTATTAACAAAAACCTTGCAACAATTAGGCCAGCAGGCAAGTAATAATTAAAGAGTTAAGAGGGTAGCTGGACAGTATTCCGAAGTTATTGGATATTTTGGCATGTCGTGTGTGGATAGTCTGTGGAGTAGAATCTGAGTTTTCAAGCTCGAGAACCCTGTGCTAACTTGGGGGAAAGTTGAATGTTCGAACTTTTTCAGTTTTCTGCTCATAACTTCTAAACCATGCGTTTTTAGTGGAATACACCTATTTATAAAGTTGAAACAAATTAAATTTCCTTCAAATTTAACTCAAAAGTATTTTTTAACACAATAGAAGCTGTGACCAAACTGTTTTCCGATCTGTGTGTTTCATTTCCTTTACGCCTCTGATGTAAATATAGATATTATTAGCCTGAAAACATTCAAAATGATAATTGACAGTACTCATCCTAAAATTGTATTTCTTTGTATTTTGTAATTCATTTACTTTTACTTTATTGAGCATATTAGTAGGTTTTAATTAAATGTATAACTATATTTTTGGATTATTACTATCAAGTTATTAGTTACTAGTTAGTATCTGTAATAGTTGGCTCTGCTGCTGATACTTTGAATAAATTAATAAATATTCCTCCACACATGCAAATTTTTTATCAACTAATGCTGACCTGGAAACTTCTTTTGAACTGAAATCTGAAATTAGAACTTTATAGAAGTTAGACGGATATGAGTATGCAAAATGTGAGGACCGCATTTTATCAATGGATAGTAGCTGAGAAAAATTCAAAGATTATTAGTCCGGTTTTTGCCAGTTCATTTTTTTGGTCCATTTTTTTTATCCCTCTTCCTGAGAAAATCCATGGAGCGTAATTCCAATTCAGTTTTCTCTTATGGTGAAAAAGAGGACAGGGTTTTAAATAAAGACAATCTGCTAAAATTTGCTGTTGCTAGGACGAATACAACTGAACAGTACTAAGGATAATTTTGAATTCTTACAGCATGAAATATGTGATTTAGAATTCTTGAATCAGCTTCTGGAGTGGTTTGATTTTAATTTAGGTAGGTAGGTAGGTACCTCACAGAATGAAGACCCTTTAATTTAGCCTGAAACATTATTGGATCGTCCAATCCTCCACAGTTGTGCAGGTTCAAATTTTTGACTTTCCCTGTATTTTTGAGAAAATCCATAATAATCATTTAAAATATTTTTTCTGGAGGATTCAAAAATGTTATAAAAAATCATTTGAACCAAAAACCAAAGAGTGACGCCATGAGTGAACTGTTTTTCAAATGAAACACCATGTTTTTGTATGTATCAGTACAGATACATCCAACCGACTTGTCCGATCATGAACTTATCATCGGCAAAATAACCAGCCTTGCTCATGTTGAAGATAAAACATCAATAACTAGACGAATATTCAACACAAGAAGTTATGAAGCCTTTTGTAGGCATATAGATGGTGTGGACTGGAATAATGTATTAAACAAAGCGGGCAGCATATTTGACAGATTCTATGAGATACTACTAGAGGCATTTAACGAAAACTATAAACCAAAAACCAGAACGACGAGGACCACTGAGAAGAAACTATGGATAACAAAGGGGATCAAGATCTCAGCGAAAAACAAAAGATGTCTCAATTACCTTTGCAAGTTCTATAATAGCAACGACGAACTGAAAGAGTACTATAAAAGATACAAGAATATATTTAAGCAAATTGTCAGCAGGGCAAAAAGTCTATATTACCTAAACAGGATAACACATGCAAGATCGTCAACAAAGGAGACATGGAAAATCGTTAACGAGATCAGAGGTCGCGTCAACAAGAAAAAACTGCCCCTAAAAGTAACTCTAAACCATAAAATTATACAGGATTCACAAACTGCCGCAGAAGAACTAAACACATATTTCACAACCATTGCCGACAAGATTACAGAAAGCATTCCAGCACTACCAAGGAAATACCAAATTAGTTCTCGAGAATTCCCTACATTTTATATATTCCCGACAACAGTGGAAGAAATTATGGAAGTAATGAACACACTATACCAAAGAAAAAATCCACCGGAATTGATGAATTAGACTTAGAATTCATAAAAAGGCTTCCTGCGCAGTGCAAAGACCTGATGGTGTCTGCTATAAATGATTCGTTCACAAATGGTATTTTCCCAAGCAGTAGGTATAAAGATATCAAGGATCATTCCAATACACAAAGGCGGTGACAACAATGAACCCTCAAACTTCAGACCTATCTCTGTGTTGTCAACCGTTTCAAAAATAATGGAAACAATGATTGAAAACAGGATGCTAACATTCATAGGTAAATACCATATCTTACAAAAACATCAGTTTGGCTTTCAAAAAAATAAAAGCACAGCAGACGCCATCGGAAATTGCATGCAGCACATATATGAAGGAAGAGACTCAAATAAAATAATTGTTATGGTGGGTCTGGATCTGGAGAAAGCGTTGGATTGTGTCGATCAAAAAAAGTTATTGTCAAAATTGGCTTCCTATGGATTTCGTGGGACAATAGGTGCATGGATTGAGTGAGTCTTTTCTGAAGGAACGAAAGCAATTCGTAGAAACTAGAAATCAAAACGGCCACGTCATTAGATCACAGATCAAAGAGTTGAAGCATGGTGTTGTACAGGGGCTAAGTTGGGACCCCTCTTGTTTATACTCTACATAAATGAACTGGCGACTCTTCCCATAAGTGGAAACCTGACATTGTTTGCCGACGACACAACGATCACATGGACTGGCGACTGCGATGAAGACGTCCAGAGAAGGATAAACGAAGATGTGGAAATGCTGGAGAGCTGGTTTAAACAAATAAACTGTCGCTTAACATAAAAAAAACCAAGTGCATTCATTTCAGCAATCCAACAAAAAAGAAAATTCAGATAAGAATACGAAACACCCCTTTGACCATTGTAAGCGAATATAAATTTCTCGGAATAACCATCCAAAAAAAATCTCAAATGGGATGTACATGTAGCGGCTGTGGCAAAGAAAGTATCATCGGGGCTATTTGCAATAAACACTTCCTGGAAAAATCTTGGACCGGCTGTGGCAACTCAAATATATTACTCTCTTTTCGAAAGCCACATGCGATATGGAATTCTCTACTGGGGTCTCTTTACATCAGTTAATACAAAAATTATATTCTTATTACAGAAAAGAGCAGTTCGCTTGCTCAAAGGAATATACAATCAGAGAATCCAAATCCATGAAAATACTAACTTTCTACGACCTTTGCATCTTTGAAAACATTCGATACTGGCATAAACACCGAAATGACGCAGAACGACGCACAGATATACATCCCTATAGAACTCGTCAAATGAATGACCTCCAGACTCCTTCATCCCGCCTTACCCTGACCAAAAATACATTCCTACACATGGGAAAACTGTTCTATAATAAGCTACCACCGCAAGTCAAAGAAATCAGACAACAGAAAAAGTTCGAGCGGTCAGTCAGAATTTACTTGGAAGGAAGGGCCAATTATAGTTTCAACGAATACATGACGAATACAATGTTACCTAAGGACTTTATCTAGTTTGTTTAAATTTGTTACAGTGTTTTGTATATTTTTTATATTGTAACTTGTGTTTATATACTTTTTTTATTTTATTTATTTCATTTTAATGTTGCTTTTTAATTGTATTTTTTTTACATGTAATTGATGACGTACCGTACAGCAGCAGTGCTTATTGTCTTAATAAATCTATCTATCTATGATTTTTGGAAGAGTCGCATTTTTTACGTCTATTCTATATTGAAAATATTTGATATTCCGATAGCTGTTTTTATTTTATTTTAATTTTTTATGCTTAATAATTTTAACTTTACTTGTTCAATTTAATAGGTCCATAGGTGATAGAGGTATAATCACCTTTCGTTCAAATTTTTGTCGTAATAGGTCATTGTTTGTAGCCCCTTTCAACAAAATAGACGTTAAAAATGCAAATTTTCCAAAAATTATATAAAAAAACAGGGTGTTCCATTTGAAAAATAGTTCATCCATTGCGTAACTATTTGGTTTTTAGTTCAAATGATTTTTTGGTACCATTTTTGAAGTCTCCAGAAAAAAAAATATGCCAATTGGCTATTTTGAATTTTTTCAAAACCACAGGAACAGGGAAGGTCAAAAACAAGCCCCTGATCAGTCGTCGTTAGATGACCCTGTACATTTCGCAGTCTTCTTTCACTTGTCCATATTTTGGAGCAGAATTGCAAAGATATCCAACAAGTGTGGTAGGTGGTAATTTATTTTGAGTGCTTGAAAAGGAAGCCTTAGGTACAATGAATAGGAATTATTGTGAAATTGCTTAAAATTGTGATATTTTTAATATAACTTGGCACTGGGGGATGGCAGGGCAGGAGAGTTGTTAGGGACCACTCCAGCTGCCAGCAAGATGTACTTTCTCATTCGTTAAGATCACAGGAATATGAATTTCAGCATTTTTGTCGGTCCTCACATTTTGCATACTCAAATACTTGTAGTGACTGCTCTATGATACTGATATAGGTACATACATACAATTTTAGAAACAAATACAATAGACTACAAAATAATTATCAAATCATTTTAATTGAACTTTATATTCTAAAAATAAGTATCACTGCATGATTTTTATAAACTATGCTTCAAAAACAACTACATAGAGTATCTTTTTTTTTTAAATAAGTACTATATACAATGGTACTATACTATAGGCAATTTTCATACAAAACTTTAATT